TGTGATTTAGTCACAGATGAGAGGACCAACCTGGAATGTATGACTATGGCCTGGTTGCGTTAGAAAAAAGGAACAGCCTTTTCTTAAATGCACCCAGCTGGGTTTCAGGTGTGGCATCAGATGAGGCTCCAGGCCAGGCATGGAAGTGAGGTGACTGTCATCCAAAAATCTCTCAGGATTTCTCAGAGGTACTGCTCCACAGATTGCTAGGTGTGAGAGACACTGTTCGTTAAGTTGGGCTCTATGGATCGGTCAGATTTTTGCTGTCGTACCAGTTTCCCTACTGCATAGCAACCTCCCTGCCTGAGCTGTTTGTCTGCATTGCTGCATTAGCTCCCCCAGATTATGGTTCTGGCAGATGTCAATCTGTCTTCTCTTGGAACTGAGTCAGCGGAAACCCAGGAGCTCATGACTACCACGACAGCCAAGAGCCCAGCCAGGTGATCCAGGGCTCAACACAGAACAGTGATCAACCCACTTGATCTGTTTTCCTGGCAAAGCAGTGACAGCGTGATCTGGGATTGAGGAATGCCTTGTGTCCACCTTGACCTGGTCAGATTACGTCCTGGTTACCTTGGATTCTCTAGCACCACTTTCCACACAGGAAGGCTGGGCCTATTAGATCAGTTTTCCCTGATGGGTTTCAGAGGGAATTGGGGACTGTTCCTACTGCTCTGCTGCACACTCCATCTGAGTCCCTTTTAAGAAGTGAATGAGGCTTTGGATTGGATCATGCCTATGTGACCTCTCCCATCTTATGGATCCCATCACTCTTTATTCTATACAGAAGCACTGAAGGAGATGAAACAGGAGACATGTCAGAGTGTTTACAGCATGACTATGATTGTGAGATAACCCAAGAACAAAACACAGGACACAGAGGCTTTGTCTTTTAACAGTGGTTTATATACAAGACTAGTATATACATACATACATACATGTGGCAGGCAAATACCAGGCAATCAATCAATCTTCAACTCTACACTGAGAACTACAATGGAGATAGAACATGAGGAGAGAGAGAGAGAGAGATACCCTCACATGGCCTCCCTTATATAGACAGCTTCTTAAAGTGGCAGTACCCTGCTGACTCATCCTCAGTTCCTCATCTTGGCTTACAATCTTACAGCAGCTGGTCAGCTATTAAATCTTCATTACTTTAACAAGACATCTAGAATGTTGCTGAGGTTGTGTGGGACAAACTCAGCTAAACACTGAATACAGCCACTCTTAAGAACTACCTCATGGCAATGAGGGAAGTGAAGTCACAGTACTTCTCCACCCTTACTGCATCTGTAGATAGTTATTTTAGCGCCTTATTTTGAACGATCTGTGCCCTCTTAGTAGAGGTGTCTCAGAGACCCCACTAGAGACTCATGCAGAAGAATTTGCAATGCATTTGCTGGTCAAAATGGCTACAATTCATTCACAGTTGGTGCTGGCCATGGTTTAGTTCCCAGGGTAGAGTTTTACCCTGTTATGTGGGAATGGACCTATTGGGCTTAAGAAAGCGGACAGGGTACTCTTTAGATCATGCCCCTCCTGGCTAATTAAAGTTATATGGGAAGCAGGAAATGTCATGTGAGTTGATTCTAGCAGTGGTGAATTCTTCCTTGGGTGAGGAGGTCTTTCCTTTGCCTCTCAAAGAAGTGTTGGTTTGCACTTTCCTCAAGAAAACATCACTGGGCCCACCAGACTGGACAACGTATCTGTATGTGTGTGTGTGAGAGAGGGGGGGAGTCTTATGAGTGTCCACATTGTTTGTAATGTAATGTTCTTAGCTTTTTTTTATAGTAATATTTCTGTATTCCCTGAATGTTTATAATATTGTTTTTTTGGTTTGTTTGCATGCATTGAGTCATAGCACCAGAAATGGGTGGCCATACACATATGATACATACATACATACATATGATACATACATACATACATACATACATACATACATACATACATACATACATACATAAATTGTCTTCTGCACATTTTTAGTTTATAGGGAAGAGAATCCCTTGAAAAATCTCTCAGAACAGGAACTGAGGCCTCTTATCAGCAGTCTATGTTGCAGCATTTGGGAACATGTGAGAACCAGCTGAACAAAGCCATTGATCCATATTATCAGTAAAGGAAGTGCACCCATAATTACTGTAAATCATGCAGTCACAAGGGGAGAAAAAGAAAGCATATGATTATTTTTGGCCATGCCTGAAGTGCTTTCTCTTCTCCTCTTCTCTTCTCTTCTCTTCTCTTCTCTTCTCTTCTCTTCTCTTCTCTTCTCCTCTCCTCTCCTCTCCTCTCCTCTCCTCTCCTCTCCTCTCCTCTCCTCTCCTCTCCTCTCCTCTCCCTTCTTTTCTTTCACCAAAACCCATCCTTTTCTACTGCTGCCATCTGCTCTCTTGATCACAAAATGTACTTCACTTTTCCCACAAGCAGCCACTAGATGTCTCTGCTGGGTAGAGATGCAAATTTAAAATAATAAAAGTTTAGTGAACAAATGGGGTGATCCAAGTAGGTGTGTTAGTGTATGGTGGGGGGGTAGGATAAAGTTTTGATAACATATTTGTAAATAAATATTTATTTTTAAATCTACTCTTTGTGTCTTGTGTTTTAACATAGGGGTTAGGTGAAACCTCTGGAGTCAGGTTCTGGTTATAGATAATGCATCATTGGCAAAAATTGCAGTTTATTGTAAGTTTGGGAGACAGAAACCACAGGCTTAAACAAAATCACTGTATTTCAAAAAACTTCTTTTCATGAAAAGGTTTTGAAAGAACATTGTGCAAACTGACGCAATATTACTCTTCTACATCTATTTCCAGTAGAACATTATGTGGAACTCACAATAATAACCCATTATGATGAGTCAGAAACAATGCTATGCAACACATGTTGTTCAATGCAACAGCCTTAAATCAAGGAAAAATTCCCTCAAAGTCTTGATTTTGGGGAAATGAAGTGAAATAATATTAAGAGATACACTGCACGTTGAGAGCCTTTCCTCATCTGAATCTCCACATGGCAAAAACAAAACAAAACCCATGTCCCATCAACATTATTTTTCTGCTGGATCTGCATGACTGTTACTTTTACCTTGAATGAGACAGATATATGTCATCCTTAGCTGTACAGGTTTTAAGGTACAATTCTTCTCCCCCTCCCCACCTGTGACACCTTCCTAAGTGCAGCCTCAAGGTGTTGGATTCGATCATCCATTGCCTTGGAGAGAAGTCAGGTGATCGTACAACTGGGAATTCAAACAGGACAGAGATGTGATGGAGGTCATATAGTTTTCTGCCAGCTCAACAAATAAGAGGAAAGGCATCCAGCATCTCTCCACAGCTACAGAATAGAAATGACCCAAGGATTATCAAGGGTACTGGATACACCTATGCATAGCAACCTCACCAGATACATAGGTAAAGGTAAAGTTTCCCCTCACACATAGTCGTTTCCAGTTCTAGGGGTTGTTGCTCATCTCGTTAGGTGCACAGAACGCTGTTACCTTCCCACCAAAGTCCCTGTTTTTCTACTTGCATTTTTACATGCTTTTGAACTGCTAGGTTGGCAGAAGCTGGGACAAGTAACGCATTGCTAGGATTTGAACCACCGAACTGCCAATCTTTCTGATCAACAAGCTCAGCGTCTTAGCCACTGAGCCACCTATCAGATGCATAATGGAGGCTAAACAGCCATCTCTTTGGGTTACTTTGGTTTGGATTATTACACAGAGCAGGCAAGTGCTGAAACTGGATGGCCTAAAATAGTTCCCTTCCCACCTACATGATTCTACACTGTTAGGTTGTACCGGTAGTTAGAAACTGGTGAATTGAATACAGCGATATGAAAACAAATGTAAACCATGAAGCCTGAAATCTAAGTGATCTCAATGCCAGAACTCCAGGAGGTCTGTGAGATTTCCCTGGGAAGTGAAACAGGATAAACACCTTGCATTACAGGCTGTTCATATAGGTACTGATTGCATTTAACAGTGTAATACGGCCTCCAGGTGTATTAACCAGCCTTCCTGGGAGGGATGGAGACTGGAATCTAATAGATATGGAGGATATCAGTTAGGCAAGCGGGGTCTATAAGCTATTCATGATCCCCTCATTGATTTGGCCTTCACTTAACAGGCTCTGAGAACTGGTTTAGCGTAGTGGTTAAAGCATCAGGTAAGTAACTCTTGGAGACTAGGAATTCTAGTTTCATTTTAGTCAGGAAGCCAGATTGGGGACCTTGGGCCAGTCACTTTTTCTCAACTCTGGGAAGCAGACAATGGCAAACCCCTTCTGAAAAACCTTAAGAAAACCACACAAGTTAAGAAAACCAGACAGTGTCAGAGCAGAAGAAGAAAAAAAAGTAGGCTCTTTAGGGCTCAGGCTTTGAATGTCATTTCTGCCCTTATAAACCAAATGAATTTGGAAAGGGCTTTCTGTCTGTACAGAAAACTGGGAAATCACTGAATGAAAAAGTTTAGGGCCAGAGGCTCCCTTGACCGAGCCAGTTGGCCAACGCCCCCCCCTCCTTTGAGCCTCCGGCCAGGTTTTCCACCCCGCTGCCACTTCCACCTCCACGCCCGCCCAAACTGGAGCTTTGGTGGAGTGGACCCGGAGGGCCCCCGTTCCTCAGGCGAGATTCGCGCGCTTGTTGCCTCAGAAGCGCTGGAGCAGAAGCGCCGCCGGTGCCGCCCGGGCCTGGCCAGGCCAGGCCAGGCCAGGCCAGGCGTTGCCTGTTTGCAAAGAGTTAAGGAGGCGGAAAACGCGGCGGCCACGGCCGCCTCTCTCCATAGAAACGGCGATCTTTAACGGGGGGAAACTTTATTAAAGTCTGATGGGCCGATAAGCGCCCGCGCCGCGCCTTTAATTAAAGCGCAGAGGAAATTGCAGGCGCGCGCCCCTCGCGCGTTGCCCGGCTACTGCTGCCCTCCCCTTCCCGCCGCCCCATCTCGCCCCTCCTCTCGCCCCCCCCCCCCTCACCGAACCTGCGCTCGGCCTCGGCGGGTGGCGGCGATGGCAATACATAATAATAACAACCGCAGCCGCAGCCACCCTCTTCCCGGGGGAAGGCCATAATACCCCCCGCGGGCGCGGGGTGCGCGCAGAGCTGCCATGAGACGCGGCGCGGCCCGGACCCTGCTGCTCAACATGTACCTGCCAGGTAGGGCAGAGGCGGGCTCGGCCGCCCAGCCGCTCGAAACTCTTCCTGAGCCCGGCGCGGCTGCTTTCTGTCCGGGAGGCTGAGGGAATCGGGCCCCTTTCCCTCCCCCGCTTGATTGCCTCGGCCTTCCCTCTTTAAAGCGGCCCCGACGGCTCCCGTCGGAAGTCGGATTTCCTTTTTCCTGGACGCGTTTCCTGGCTTCATAGCGGCTTGGCGGGGAGGCGGGGGAGCGGCAGAGGCGGGCGGGCGGCGGGGGACTCGGAAGAAGGCGAGGCTCCCTCGGGGAACGGCGTGGTTTTTTTTTCTTTTTTCTTTTGCTCCCGCTAAAGGATGAGCTGACCGAAGCTGCGGGCGGGGATCGGCTCCGATTTGGGGTCTTGGGCTCCTCACTTACCGCCCCCTCCCTCTTTTTCCTGCAGATCCGGTTGGGGAAACTTTGTTCAAAGAAGGCAAAACCCAGACGTGGGGCTCGCTGGGACCAGGGGTGCAGAAAGGTAAGCTCGGTTTGTTTGTTTTTTTGTTTTTTCTTTTCGTTTGTTACAGAAGTGATCCGGAGCAGGGAGGAAATGAAGCTTTTAAGGAACTGGCGATCCCACTGGCTTGTCCCAAAGGGCTTCATTCGAAGAATAGATGCCTGCTTTCAGCGAGGGTCTTGGTTATCCCGTCGGTTCGAGTCCCACTTCGCGGGGTGGGGGGTGAGACGGAGCAGCGCTTCTCAACGGTGAAAAGGGCGCATTGGGCAGCTTTCTTCCCTGCTCCGCGGAGGCAGTTTATTTCACTTTGGAAGGGGGCATGGAGGTGCGAAGGGGCCGGCTGCACCGACCGCGAAGGGTAACTAAGCTCAAAATGCGCCAAAGGCGAAGTCTGATCCGGGAGAGAGATGGTCTTGTTCTTAGCAAGAGGCGGGTCGGAGCTAGAACGAGTTCCATGTCCGAGGTTAGCTATTCCCCAAGCGAAAGCCCAATGAATTGGAACTATCTGACCTCTAACACCCTCCTCGTAAAGCTGCCGTGTATTTGTTTTGGCTCCGAAAGCCCCATCGACTCCGAGATTTGAGCCGTCTAACTCTAACCGGAATGCCCAAGTTATTGAATTAACCCCCTTGCTGATTTCACACTACTTTATACGTTTAGTAATCCAAATGGCCTGTTCTCCCAATACAAACTAACCAGATTCAACACGAGGAGAGCTTTGCGTGCTTTTTCCTGCAGCCGCAAAGTCTCTAACAGGTCGGGTAAGTGTGCTGTGAGAACCGCTTTGGCAGTCCGATTGGCAGGGTCGGTCTTAATCCTCCCTTTAGATGCTGATGCTTGAACCTGATAGACTTTTCCCGGTCACCCTTCGCCTTTGAAAGAGGAACCACTCCTTATCACTGCATAAGGGATCTAGTTTATTTGACCACTGGAGTCGGTGATCCAATAAAGGGCACTAAGAAGCAAACCAGGCTCGTGGACAAAATCTTGGGTTTTTGTTTTGTTAACTAGTTACTTTTACCATTTTAAATGAGAGTATCAACTTACCGGGTTGGCTTAAAATTGGAACCATACTTTGGATGGCCCACGTTTATGTATGAAGTGCCCATTGTCCTCCTTCTGTAAAAACACCCTTTACTAAAGATCGGGGCATCCACGTTTCTGCTCCAGAGAGCTGCTCTGGAGAGATGCTGTCTCTTGGGAAGGGAAACTGCTTCTTCCACTTGGCTCAAAAGTTCACCACTTGGTATCCTCCGCTTCTCTTGGTTTGGATGCAGAAAAGCGCGCATTCATCGCCCACCCTGTCCTGAATGAAGCTTGTGCTGCAGCTCTCACTGTGGCCACCCGCCCGTTCATCTTTATGCCTTTGGATAGGGCTTGAAACAGAACAGCACATAATTCTTTAAAGGCCGAGGCCGCTTGGATGGTGCTGAGCCCGCGAAAGCTTCCAAGGGACTTTTGTCTCCCTTTTCCCTTAAGCTCAAATTTTAAGAGAGCTTTGCAAAACTGCCCCCCACCCCCTCCCAAACACGAGGTTTTCAGGTCAGTAATCTTGTTTGCAAGTGATGCAAAGGTGTTTGCACACATGTATGTGTGTGTGGGTGGATGGGGGTTGCGTGGGCTGAGTTGTCAACTTACTTTTCCAAGAACAAAAGAGCCCCCCCCTCGTTATAGGAACCCATCTTTCTTCCCTTCCCCTTCCTTCCTACATTATATTTGGAGGTTTCTCTCTCTACCTACTTAGGGAAGGGTTTAGGGTACCTCACCCAGGCACATCCTTTGCCTAAAGTGGTAGATACAGCCAAGGTGGAAAACATTTCAAACCCATTCTGATTGGGTGAACTCAGAGCAGAATTTTAAATACGCCCAGAAATAATTGTTCAATGAATTATGAATGCTGCGTGGGACTGAAATAACAAAAACAATCTGGAATTAGGAGAAATGATTTTTTAAAAGTAGCTCTGAATATTGCAATGCAATGACTATTTCAAAAAATCACAGCAACACGGATATGGCTGTTCCTTTGGAGAGAGATTTTATCCACATCAAATTAATTTGTGCCTCTATCACACACTCACACCTGCATCACACCTACCTTGACGCAAAGCAAACGAACAATCTCATCTAATCGAGCCAGAGCACTTGATGCAGATGTACTTTCAGCTTTCGTTTTATTTTTAATGTAGTCCTTGGAAATTTGCGCCAAGGTAACTCTGCTAGAGGGGAAAACATCTCTTGCTCTCTGAAAACGACGTCAATGTGAGGGGGAATCGGATTGTTTAAAAATAAAGATATTAAAAACTCCCGGGGTTCCAGAACCACGTCTTCTGATTAATGTGGTATTGTATCCTCCATCACGGGAGTTTCTGGTTCAACGGCCCGGTACTTCGCACTAGCGCTTAAAACAGACGGTTCATTTTGAAATATAAATTCCCTTGAAAGGATTGGGAAAATCAGCTTCTTTTGGAAGGGCCCTCCTTTCTGGAGTGCTCAATGCCCTTTTAACACCTCTGCCTAAGAACGGGGACGTACCCGGCGAAGATTGTTGCGGCTTCTTCAAGACGCCACGTTTAGTATCATCTACTCTTGTTCACATTTCTCCGAAGGGGAATACATTCCGGAGAGGGCAAGATTATGCACGGAGGGTGTGTGGAAAGGAAGAGGAAAATATTGGGAAAAGGATTGCTGAGAGAGTCATCTGACCCAGACATCGAACTATTAAATTGGATAGAAGATAAGAAACTGGGGTCTGTATTTGGAATGGGCGAGGATCTTCCTGCATTCGACCGGCGCGTTGCGATCCACGAATGTTCCTGCAAAGATACACGGGGGCGAATTTTGACTCTCTAGGGCTGTGCCGGGTTTCCTTCTGGGAAACCATTCAAAGAGAGTCGCCGACGAAGCCAGAGTCGCAAGAAATGGCCCCGCAAAAGTGTGGAAGGGCATCGAAAATTTCCCTCCCACCTGCCGTGAATTGAATCGCAGAGCAAATGCTCCCAGAATAAACACCCGGCGCAGGAACCAGACCAGCGCCAGCATCCCTGCTTTGGACGGCTTTGTTTTCCGCCTCTCCTTAGGGTCAGCCTCCGAAGAAGCAGCCGCGGAGCAAAATCTGTTTCTTTCACGGACGCGACTTTTTTCCCCCCATACACATTTCAAAAATCAGCCGGAAGGATCCGCCTAACCGCGAAAACAAAGGTTAGAAGAGGAAGGTCAGCTATGCCAAGGCAGGTCTGCTCGTGATGTCTAAGGAAAGGGTCATTCGTCATTTCTCTCTTTAAGTGGGGAAAGAGGAAACACCTAGTGGCGGATGAAGGCTCACTGGTGCCCTAAGCACTGACAAATCTTGGTGCCCCCTCGCTCCTTTGTATAAACTGTACAAACGAAGCCATATTCTCAACTTTGTGGTGCTCCCCTTTGAGCCTGGTGCCCTAAGCACAGGCTTAGTCTTGCTTAATGGTTGATGCGCCTCTGCACCCTTGAGTGTAAAACAGGTGTGGACTCTGCAAACGCTCCTCCAGCAAAGGAAACCAGCCCGAGTGTTTCAACTCCTGAAATTTTCTTTTGGCTTCAGTGCAGCCGACTAGCTTCTGAGAAGACTTGAATGGGGGTCCCTCTCTTTATTTCACTGTATTTAAAAAAAAAAAAAAAACGAAGTCAAGGTTGGACATTATATCACTTCTAAATATGAGTGATGCTTACCAACGAGTAAAGGAAAGCAGAAGAGAGGCAACATCTTTCATAAAAGTAAAAAACGGTAGGGTCCGTTTAAATTCATTTAAACGGAAATGATGATTCGACCCAGAAAAAACGCTTAAGACTTCAACCAGCATCGAAAGGAGGAGGACCTTCCAGGGCTGCTTGCCGCAGCCCTTCCAATCCTGGGGGCTGTGGATGGAGTTGCTGCAACTGTCCCACACCAGCATTTTCCCCAAAGGACTGCAACAAGGACAACCGTGATTCTTCCGAAGATGCAGGCCGCTTCTCTTCCTAAACAGAACAAGCCTTTCCCAAGTTTTATTTAACTGACTTTTAATGGAGAAGGCTCCGCGTGGATCTTTTCCTAGCCTGTGACGCTTTGAGATATGCCACATTGAGTGCCCATTGTCCCAGTCAAGCCAAGAATGCAATGACCCACTACATGAGAGGGATGGGAGTTGTAGTCCAAGGCATGGGGGGGGGACGGGGGGGGGGACACACCAGCTTGGAAAAAGCTGAGTCTACCAGCCTGGTGACTGAGTTGGTTCCTCAAGAGGCGTGGTTGAGGTGACATAGTTTGAAAGGGCAGCTCGTTCCTTCCTACATCTTAGGGTTGGTTTGCACAAGCAAATGAGTTTGCAGAACAGATCCCATCCAACTTTTACTTATTCATTGGGAAGAGTTGCATGTAACTAACCCACAGATCAGAAGTGAAAAAGATGGCTTACCCACCCCTCTCTGACGTAGTACAGGTAGTCCTCGACTTACGGCCACAATTGAGCCCAAAGTTTATGTTGTTAAGTGAGACATTCGCCAAATGCGTTTTGCCCCATTTTACAACCTTTCTGGCCTTGATTGTTAAACGAACCACTGCAGTTGATAAGTTAGTGACCCCGTTAAGTGAATCTGGCTTCCCCATTGACTTTGTCAGAAGGCCGCGTGACCTTGGGACACATCAACAGTCATAAATATGAACCAGTTGCCCAGCATCTGAATTTTGATCCCATGATCATAGGGATGCTGCAAAGGTCATAAGTGTGAAAAATGGTCGTAAGTCGCTTTTTTAGTGCCATTGTATCTTTGAATGATCACTAAATGAACTGTTGTAAGCCGAGGACTACCTGTACTTTCATTATTGTTATTGGTACAAGGAAGTTTAAAAGATGCCCTTCCCTTCAGATTTTAAAGGCCATTGTTGTCTCTTTTACATCCACTGTGAAATCCCACCTCCTCATCCTGCTACAAGCCTGAAAATCTTTGTTTAGATCTGAGTTAAAAATGGAAAGTTTAAATACTCCCCATTAAAATTCACATTATTTCAAAATACTCCGGGTGAAAATTGCTGGTTTAAGGGTGAGTTAACCACCATCATGCGTTACTCCCATAGCTGTGGCAAGGAAGCTTCAAGGCTTCATTGTGATGTGTGACCCAGCCCTAGAAAAATAAGCCAAGAGACAATCCAACTTCCATTCTTAAATACCAGCAGGATTGGATTAATTATATTTATCAATATATTGCTTCCCCAATGCCTCTTGGCAGTGAGCTCTTTCATTTTGTTTCCCTTGGTAGCTTAACTCCTTTTTTGCCATGGTTGCAGTAAAAAAAAAACATTGATTATTCAGTCCAGTTAACAAGATTTTGGTTTGATTTGGTGGGCTTCTTGTTTTTATCCTTACTCGGGATAGGCCTTAAATTTCTCATCTAACAATGAATGTTATTAGTTATCTGTATTAATGATTTATAGCTAATATTCTCATATATTTCCCCAGAAGGAACTCAATGGAACATGCTTCTGAGCAGTGCTAGTTAGATACTGATTTTGCTTCTTAGCTATTTGGAACATTAATTTCTTTGGAAATAAGTAGACTCCGTTTTGAATAAATTGCAATAATAAATTGGTAGGCTATTTCTAAATATCTGGGTTAAAAAAATATGTTTCCTAATTCTCATTCCATCTCTTACTGCAGATATTCTAATCCTAGAAATGCTGATCTGTGACTGTAATACAGATTATCATTATTCCAGTCCTGGAAAGGAAACAGAACTTTAATTATTTCTAGCTGAACAATTTTGCTAAGAATTGTCATAACTTCAAGCATCCAACAGGAAGTTAGGGATCTTAAGAGAAGGACAGAACCTACTCTGATTTTTATATTGCAAATGCTTACAATTGTCAGCTCCTCCCACCTACAAATGGGTTGGTATTGGAAAAGTTATTGTATCTCCCATAATTTGAACAGGTCGCCTCTTAGCTGTTGAATCTCAAGCTAAATGGGGCTAGGCCTATAGATTAGAGAAATAAAAGAAAAAAAGCTTGGAAGCAGATAATTGTAAACCATGATGTCCTTATTGTAAATAGATACAGTAGGTGATAGATAGAGATAGAGATAGAGATAGAGATGGACAGATGGCTGGATAGATGGACGGATGGAGGGAGAGACAGACTATAAGTATATATTCATGTCATATGTTACCATGTACAGTCCCTAATTATCTCATGTAAAGCTAAGTAAGATCAAACCCTATTAATACTCAATGCTGGAAAGTAGACTAGGAAGAAAAACAAATAAAAACATAATAGCAAACTACTTGGTGATTATTTCCACACTCAAAAGGCACCCAAAATGTACCTTTGTTACCATTAAAGTGTCAGTCGTTTCCCTCATATATTTTCCCAGAAGGAACTCAATGGAACAGTGCTAGTTAGATTCCATGAAGGAATGCGTCTGAAGTAATGCTGCTTCTTCCAAGAAGAAGAAACCCCCCCCACACACGTGATTGTGAAAATGTTAAATAAACCCAGGTTTCAAAGTTACTAACCAGCTTAGCTGGTAATGCAGTTCAAGGATGGATCTGGCAGTTGCATATTTCTGTCTTATGTTAATAAAATATCAGCAACCCATCTAATCTAGAAAGTAACTATCTTGAGTTTTGGAATAACTGTTGTGGAAAATTTAGAAGCACAGAGGAAAACCCGTGTGAGGATAAAGAAACCATGTTTATTGCATTCATTACAAGAAAGAAAGACCCTGAACAATGTGTTTAACTGAATGGCGGAATGCAGCCAAGGATAAAAACTACCAGGGAAGCTTTTAAAAAGGTGCTTCCATGGAGGGCCATGTGTTACACTGCTTTTAGCTCTGGAATGAATCTGCTTGCATCTACCCACCCTCCTCTTAGTCATGTATCTCTTTCGCCAGCTTTTCATTGTGAAATGACTGGAGTATCTAATTTCATGTTAATAGTAATCTATATCCCAACATTATTTAAAATCTTTTTAAACTATTGTTAGCTGCCTTAAAAATTTGCCACAATAGTAAGGATATAAATTACACTGTTAAATAGTAAATGATATTATAATTCTTTGTGTGAAATTGTTCATGCTTTGTAAAACATTGGGTACAATTTCAGAGCATCAAAAATAAAAAATTATAAACAAATGAAATAATCGTATTCAAAATGTGGGGTAGAAATTAGAATCATCAAATTAATTCCTAGTTAGATGTTTAATCATCTTAGTCTGTTGGAACATAGCACTGCCTAAATCCTATAATGCAGACTGTAATGAGACTAAATTAATTTAGTACAATTCAGCAGAAATCACGTGATTTGCATACAGAAAGTCTCAGGTTCAAATCTCAGCATTGCTGGGAAAAGTCTTTCCTATCTGTTGGTTTTCAGACAGCCAGAGCTCTTGCTGTGTTAACACAGCTGCAGTGCACTATAGTATTGTATGCCATAAAAGTGCAGCATGCAGAAGTTAGTATAATATGAGAGTGTGCTGAATGAAAATCTTTAATTCCCATATTAAAATAATCTGGAAACTATACAACAATGGGGAAGCTTGATTTGGGGAATCCAAAGGGAGAGTAGAAATTTACACATGCAAACATATATATTGGCAGGTGGGAGCCGTGACAAAGGTTTCCTTTGGGCACCTTTGTATTGTGTGCCAGTTGCACTCATTCCTGGCCTGGGAAGCCTCTGCTCACATGCCCTCATGCCCTCCCATCTAAATTACTGCAATAGACTCTACATGGGGTTTCCCTTGAAGAGTATTTGAAAACTTCAACCGGTGCAGAATAGCACGGGTAGTAAATGGTACCATGTAACACCATTGCTTCAACACAGGTAACACCATTGCTTCATGAGCTGCATTGGTTGCCAGGGTGTTTCTGACAACCAGCAATTTAAATGCTGGTTGTCACCTTTAAAGCCCTTTGTGGCTTGGGATTGAGTTGTTATCTGAGATACTATCTTCTCCCAGGTTTCTATTCATCCAGTCTGATCCACTAGGTTGGACAATCTTGGAGCCTATCAGCCAAGGAAAGTCAGCTGCTAAGGAACAGGAGATGTGCCTTTCCTGCTATTGGTCCTTCCCCCTCGGAATATCCTTCCTCCTGAGATTAATTGGTTGTAACCCTGATTATGTGCCCAGGCCTGGGATCCTGAGTTATATTAATGGCCTTGTTTCCTGGTTTAATTTTTTTTGTATTTTTTTTGTATTTAGTTTAAATTGATTTTATGATTGTTCACTGTCTAGAGCAGGGCTGTCAAACTCACGGCCTGCAGCCCAGGTACGTCATGCGCTGGCCAAGCTCACGCCTGGTTTAGTGAAGGGGAAAAAAGTTGCGATACATCACATGATGCTGCTGTGACGATGCAAGTTTGACACCCCTGGTCTAGAGTCACTTGTTTGAGATGGTAGCCATAGAGATCAATGGTGGGATTCAATTTTTTTTACTACCGGTTCTGTGGGCATGGCTCGGTGGGCGTGGTGTGGCTTGGTGGGCATGGCAGGGGAAGGATACTGCAAAATCCCCATTCCCTCCCCACCCCACTAACCTGCTTTCCAGCTCTGTTCTCCTGTGCAGGGCAACAAAAGAAGACCCAGCCAATCAGCTGGGACTTGGGAGGCAGAGAATAGATGGGGGCGGGGTCAAGTCAGAGGTGGTATTTGCCGGTTCTCTGAACTACTCAAAATTTCTGCTACTGGTTCTCCAGAACTGGTCAGAACCTGCTGGATACCAACTCTGATAGACATACGATAAATAAATATGTACATGAACAGACACCGTAAGAGGAAACCCCTATTAGCAAAGTATGGTAGCAAAGTTTACACACATGACTGCTGCTCACAACAGCTTTTAATAGAACGTGTGTCGGAAAAAGTGCTAACAGGCTCCTCCTGAGCTTTTTGCACCCATACTGATAGTATAAATGGAGATGGGTTCTAGAATCTTTTGCTTTTACCAGCCAAAGTGCTCCTTATGTCTGCAGAACATCTTGTTCTGACTGTCAATCTCGATAAGCTGGACTTGCAGCAGAGTGGTGAGACTCTGTTTGTTTGGTCCTTAGCAGCAGACTCTTCTCCACTAATATGGACTAGCTGTTGGTCACTCAGTGTTAGTCCAATTATACAAAGAGCTCGTTCATTGTTCTGTTTAAAGTCAGCAAGCTTCTTGGCATCATCCTCATTTTCTGGATCCCAAGCATTTACATCCAGTGGGTCTTGAACTACATTCCATAAATCTTCTTTACACAGAAGTAGACTGCATTTCATAGACCAGGAAACATAGTTTGTTCCGTCCAACCTGGTTATCAGTGATAGACTTGTTGAAGTGACTTGTGCCATCTTTACCAGGATAGTAACCCACAATTAAACAGTAAACAGCTGTCTGTATACAGTACTGTGTATTCACACTAACTCTCAGTTATCTAAGCCTGGTATGGCCTGGGCCCACAACCAGTGTTGAGGTAATTCCCCGTTAGGAGAATGAGTGCATACAGGGAGACGTATAGAGAATAGTGTTTGAATAATACACACACAGCATACAGATACACTGTACAGTAAATCTAGGGTTTTACTTTCAATAAAGGTTTAAGCAAAGTTCAAAATAGGCAGTCCAAAGTCATTCACAGGTTAAATCAGTCAGTTTTCAATCCAGGGATAATCCAGTAACAAAGTCCAGTGTCAAGAAACAGTTCAGTATCAGACTTACATTAAATCCAGGAATATCAGTCAATTAGGAAAAATGGAGCAACGGCAATACTTTCCAACAAAAGAAAACAGATACGCTCACACTCTCTTCTGAGACTCAGACTAAACAACCCAGGTTTCTGGCTCCATCTTATGGCCGTTTGAGAAACCACACCTAATTACAGTTTTGCATTTTCTTAAAGATACAGTTTTAAAATGTTTATCCTGGTTTATATATTTCTAACCCAAATACCTGTTAGGTGACTTATATTCCTAACAGGCAGAGTAGCAGGTTCTCTAACCCCCTCCCTTGGCTTTACAGGCAGTGGGCAAATCCAGCTGTGGCAATTCCTCCTGGAGCTGCTTTCGGACCGGGCCAACCTCAACTGCATTGCCTGGGAAGGTACCAATGGCGAATTCAAACTGCTCGATCCCGATGAGGTGGCCAGGCGCTGGGGCGAACGGAAGAGCAAACCTAACATGAACTATGACAAGTTGAGCAGGGCCCTGCGCTACTATTACGACAAGAACATCATGACCAAGGTTCACGGCAAGCGCTATGCCTACAAGTTTGACTTCCAAGGCTTGGCCCAGGTCTGCCAGCCAGCTACACCTGATCACACCTTGTACAAATTCCAGGCACCCCTTCCCTTCTCTGGCATCTCTAAACTCAACATCATGGCTTCAGGAGTGACCCCCACCAGTTTCTCATACTGGCCAGGCTCTGCCCCAGCCCTGTACCCCAGCCATGGCTTGCAGGCTTCAACGCCCTTCAGCACCATGGCAACATCTCATATCAACAATATGAACAGCCATTACCATTAGACTTCTTCTGGTGAGGAGCTGGGAGGATAAAGTTTGACCCCTAAATTTCAGCTTAAGATATTTCCAGTGCAGAAAAAAAAAAAAGAATATTTATTAGCTTCACCCATCGTGCTAAAACACAAGGTGGTTTGCCTGGTTTTGGTTTCATGTAATACATGAAACCAGCTACTTATGGTTTGTGGCCTAGCACAACGTGTCAATTCAGCCACGGCAGCCTATTCAATAGCGACAGTGAAACAGGCCAAGGGTTAGGCAGATGGCTGAATCTAGCTATTTTGTAAAATGGAAAGAGAATCTTTATTGAGACAGGCTGGATCTCAGCACAGGAGCTGGCTCCATCCAGAGCCATTGTGGACTGGAGTCTCACCCCAGTGAATCCATATTTTCCAGGGAACATTTAAGTAATTTCCCTATCTTTTTTTTCATTTAAAAAAAAAAACCACAACACATTGGAGTGATTCTGAAACTGTCTTGTACTTGGCACTTTGGGAACTGTGAACGTTTGTACAACCCCCCCCCCCCCTCAAAATTACACACATGTAATCACACATCCTAAGAGACTGGTGGAGAAGCATCAGCACCAGCAAGATACTTTACTCTGAGACAGGTTATAGTGACAGTGATATCCATTTAGCCTGAATATCTCTAGATAAAATGGGCAAAGCTATCTCTGGCCATTCTATTATAATTCACAGAGATCATACATAATACTTTTTGTCAAGCCACCACTTGGCTTTCAGTTGAATAAGAGATCTACTAAACATTGTTCTGGAGGTCAAATTGCATGAATGTTTTTGATTTTCTCAACCCAGTTCAATTTCTAAACATTAGCCAGTTTTTTTTAGGGCCCGTGGTTGTGTAGAATGGAAGAACTTGCCTAGACTTACATGGTTATAACTGGAACGATCTACCTTCCCGCTCAAAAGGCAAACAAATGCTGCCCTTTGAAACAAGGTGTTTTCCCATGTAGGACTTCATGAGAGTTTAATAAAAAATAAACCCTACACTGGCAAGAATGTATTATAACCATCTTGCCTTTACTTTTTGTTCTAAGTGAATCTCAGTCAGAAATGTGAAAAGGGTTAGAAAGCTTCAAGTATGAAAAGGTTGGTGGTTGACAATTTCCTATCAGGTCCTAAAAAGTCAATTTAAGGTTCCCTGTTCTTCACACTGTTTTTTTTTTCAATGCTAAAGTTTTGTTTTTTTTAAAGACCCCGCTCCTTGGACATTATTATTCAAACTGTGACCTTGCTGTTGCTTTTTGCTCTCTGGCTTTGGATTATGACTGTCCCCCTTCCTAACGCCATCTCCACTGGTTCCATTCTTAGGTTGATGGGCATTTACCCATTCACACTGTTTCCCTTGATGTAAGATAAAAACACTGTTCCAGGTTTCTGTGTGTACGTATATGTGTTGGAAGGTTGAGGAGAAATGACTTGAATTATTTAAAGATTAAATTGCAAGCATAGCTATGAATTTACACAGTATCTGTCATTCCTTTAAAAAAAAAACACCTCAATTCAAAAAAGGCAGAACATTCAAAAACTCAATTCAGAAAAGGCAGCGGTTTTTGATACCACCAGTGTGATATTAAATACAGGTAAGAGGAACAGAAGAATTCTCTTTGTGAATGCCTTCCCCACACCATTCCCCAGGGCTAAATAGGACAGTACTGGACAAAAATTCCCCCCCTTCCATGAATGAAATTACATTGATTTCTGCTTTGTTTTTTGCTTGATCCTACAGTGCCGCCTGCAGGAGAAGGGCAGAGAAGCAGCTGAGCAAACTCCTTCAAGGGGGCTACTTTTTATTTATTTATTTTTATTTATTTATTTGATTTGTCAATCGCTTACAAGATAATAGGTATAAGTATAAACATGAGTGAGAATACAGGAAATAGGTACGAATAAATGGGGACAAAAGGACAGGGACGGGAGGCACGATGGTGCACTTATGCACACCCCTACTTCCTTGCTTCTGCCGTGGTCCTTCTCTTGGAGGTCATTTAGGAGAGGGGCAGATGCTAGGAGAGTGAAGCAAGGGGCCTGTTGCTTTTTATAGCAGGCCAGTGAATGGGCTGAAAGCAGAAAGAAAAGTGGGGATGGGAGGCTTTGGGAATGAACACTGGCCCTTGTTTATCATTAGAAAATGCTGAACTCCGATGTCGGCCTCCAAAGCACATTGTAGGGGCTTCCATCTTTTTCACAGCTGAAATGGTTCCCTCAACAGACTCAGTGCTATATCTCTTGACTGCACGACCAGTTAGGTCATATTCTTGATTCTCATTGCCACTTCCAAGTTAGAGCTCTAGGGCTTTTTCAACTCAGGCTTCGTGCAAAGTCAAAGGTACCTTTCAAGGGTGCCAGAATCTGACTTCTGTCTCCATTCCCAAGAAGTAATTTCCTTCCGAAGCCCCAGAGTAAGAAGCCCTGTTTTGAAAGAAGATGGTCTTTCTAACACCTTAAGGGTTAATTAGATTAAAAGAGGACATTTCTGCAGGCTTAGTAGCTTGCCATCCTCATCTACACCTCTATCCAAGGTGTAGGACATCATGTCTCCTTTGTAAACAATTGAGTGCCAGAAGCAATTTCATGACCCTTTGAATGAGTCTTGTTCCATACCATACGGTGGGATTCATCTACTGCTTGTCTAACCTCGCTTGGACCCATTGGAACCTTCTCCTAGTTGAATCCCTTGCAACTTGTACTGACCCTTCCTTGCTGTTTCTGTTTGCCCATCATCTCCTCTCTTAGGATCCTCAGACACAACTCTCCAGGGATGCTGCCTTGAACTTATCATGGTTATTCTCTCTTCATTTATCACAGATTCCAGTATATACTTAATAACTTCCTTAGTGAATACTTTTCCACAGTCATGCTGGTGATTGGGAATTGGAACCTCTCTTCTTTCTGTCAATCCCTGGAAAGCAATGCAAAAGTCCATCCACCTCAGAATTTTGGGGTTCAAAGCAAGCAGTCTGGACCATTTTCCATGTTTTCATATGGGTTCCAGATGCACTAAACCGGAAGGCATTCTTCTGGGGAAACAATGTTAGTTTTTTTAGTGCATGCTTGGAAGCAAGAATAACAATTGAACGGTGTATTTCGTGTGCTCCTTCTTGAAGCTTCCCATCACCAACACCTTAAACTGGTTCTCTTTTATTTTTAAATGTTTGCTGAAGTTTGCTGTGCATTTTCTTAGGTAGATCTACTCAGGTTCAGAATGGCTTGTGTATTGCCAGACACTTCGATTGTCCAGCAGGGAGCAGTAGTGCCATATTGGTATCCTCCTCTCTTTCTCCCCAAGTTATTAAATTATGACAAATTCCAGATAGTAGCATCTATGCGTAATCTAAAAAAAGAAAAAGTTAAAGTATGTGGATCGAGTCAATAAAAATAAACTAGGTGGATCATGAGGAATGAAGACCATTTAGAGATTAAAACGATCCAATTGGAGTTACTGAGTAAATGTAATGGCTGGGAAAAGAACCTTGTGGAAGAGGAAGAATGGAATTTGAAAAAGCATCTCAGTTGAACTTTCCTGATTCTCTTTGGGATAAAGAGATGGAGAGGCACATCCAGAGTTGTAAGATTCTGATACTAAAACCCTATAATAAAAGTAGTTTTAGTATTCACGAAGTTTGTGTTCAACTCTGGTCTACATCAAAGAGCTGAGATCAGTCTTGTAAGTTTCAATCTGGCTCCCCTATCCCTGCCTTTATCTTAAAAAGAACTGTGGATGGTCAAGTCTGAGATGTTTTCTCAAATAGAAATCAATCAACCAACCAACCAATCAAATAAATAAATTATGTTCTTCCTTTTCCTCCAGGTTATTCTTAAAAATCATTACAGTTTGATTCCATGGGCCTACAGATGGATGGTAGCTATAATACCACTCAAAGATGATTCCAGTTTTTGTCCTAAATGATTTTTTTTCTTGTTGGTGCATGTTGAATCAGAATTAGAAATAGAAGATTATATTCTAGGAGTGCCCTCATTCTGAGTTCCCCACAAAATTCTTTTAGGTTTTAAGTAGAGCGTTACCCTATAAAAGCTTCATCTGGTTAGGGGTAAAATGTATTGCTTTTCATACCATGAGGACTAAAAGTAGTTCTATACATATCAAATCCAGTTTTCTCACAAATTAACACAACTCTTTTAAACTAAACTGAGGAAAATTATTATTTACAATTTAATAATGGAGTGGCATATTGTGACATACAGATTCACAATGTACAGATTCACATTACTAGTATGTGTTTGAAATTACATATTTGAAAGTTCTTCGAACAGTAATCTTGGGATGCTTCCCAATCACTAACCGTCCCAGAGAAGCCTCATCCCACAAAATATTATAAATACAGCAAGGCACCTTCCATTTCTGGGCCATTGCATTAATCAAATTTTCCTAGAACGCAAAGTGAACGGTCTCTACCACTTGTGATCTATATTTTGGTGCAGAGCTTTTCTGAGGCTGAAGAACCCTGAGGTAAATCTGTACAGACAGCCTGGACTGCTACTGTATTTTTTCACGTTTTATATTTTAATTTCTGCTGCTGTTATGAACAGAAAGCAATGTGAGCATTTTTTAATAACCATGGAAGTAGAATGAATGTAATAAACTGTCAAAAAAGCAGCAAAGGCAGGGAAGCAGCACTTCACATAAGATACAACATAATCTTGATCAAAAATTGTCTCCCAGCTTTTGCTATATCCTCTGAGCAATGCAGATGTGATGCAAGATCCTACCACATGGTGTCCCACTATCAGAGCATCATAAATTCAAGAAAGGATTTGTTATTGATGGGGGGAAAACCGAACAATAGAGCTTGTGCATTCCATCTCTGGCCACAGGCTGCCATAATATAATAGTGTCTGGGTATGATGGAATTCATCTCAGCTCGTTCTGTTTTCTCTCTGTGTAAGTGCAGACTGTGCCACCTCTCCCATTCTGCTTTGAAACTCTACCCTTCAGTTCCACCACATCACCTGGCATGTTTCCACAGAGTCTGCTTTCCCATCTTTTCTTTAGTTTCATTGTCCCATTTTGTATCATAGAATACTGTGAAGTCTTTA